GTAGGTGAGCCAGCGTAACTCATGTGCAGCCATGGCCCCTGCGTAGATCTTAGCCTCACAACTGGAACTGAGAACAAAAGACGAGCGGGTAGACCGCCAAGAAACAGAGCCGGAGCCAAGACTGAAGGTGTAACCCTGTGACGACCGCTGCGTAGCCAAGTCGTCAACCCAAAAAGCGTCCGCGTGGCCAGTGAGGACTACTCGAGCCCGTCCTCCAAGCACGAGCCTGATGCCTGACGTACTGCACAAGTAGTGAAACACCCTCTTAGCGGCCTCCCAGTGCTCTGGTCGGTGTCTCCCGGGCGCAACGTAGCGTACCAGGATGCTAAGAGGGTAAGCAAGGTCAGGTTGAGTGCAGGTCATTAGGTACATGAGGCAGCCCACAAGCTCTGGATACGGGCCATTCAGCTCTATGGACTCATCCGAAGGCAGAGCTGAGAGCGAGTGACCGGTAGGCAGAGGAGAGGACCGTGGCGAGGAGTACGTGAATCGGAAGTGCTGAAGGACCTGCTGCACCATGTGTGACTGAGTCAGGGTAATGGTGCGCCGTGCTCTGTCCCGGGTGATCTGCAAGCCAAGATAGCTGCGCAGCTCTCCCAGGTCTGTGCACGTGTGTCTCTTCTGCAGCTCCGACTACACGTGGGCGAGTCCCCCAGTGTCAGCAGTGGCAAAGACCAAGTCGCCGACGTACACGAGGATGTATAACGGCGGCAGCGAAGTGTCGGTGCGCAGAAACAGCGACGGGTCAGCAGTCGAAGGAGCAAACCCAAGAGCCGCAAGCGTCGTCCTCAGTGTGTCGTGCCACTCGAGAGGCGCCTGGCGGAGACCGTAGACTGGCCGCCGGAGGATCCACTGGGTACCTGCAGGAAACGACCCAGTGAAGCCAGGTGGGCGGCGCAGCCAGATCTCCTCGTGCAGGCTGCCCTGCAGGAAAGCTGTGCTGAAGTCAAGAGAGTGGAGCTCGTAGTCACGCTGAGCGGCGACGTGCAGCCGAGCCCGAAGAGTGGTAATCTTCGGCGTAGGGGAGAAGGTCTGGAAGAAGTCAACTCCCTGTCACTGACTGAAGCCTCGTGCAACGTAACGCGCCTTGAAGACAGGCGGAGAACCCGGCGTCCGCTTCACCCTGAAAATCCACATGCCACTGACGATGTTCGCCCCAGGTGGGGGAACGTCGTCGACGTAAGTGCCTGTGGACTTCCACGATGCCATCTCTGCGTCCATGGCTGACTGTCACTGAGAGGAGTAGGGACCCTCAATCGCCTCTGCGTAAGAGTGCGGGGTCGGAATGTCTGGTGCATCCAGGTCTCCCTCAGGTGCAATCAGCATGGACACGAGATGAGGTACAGCAGCTGCAAAACACTCAAAATCCTCCTGCCTGTCCTCAAGGACGTCCGTGCCAAGAGCACACTCACCCACGACGGACGGAGGACAGACAGACTCAGACTCAGCAACAAGACTAGCGGCGTAGTCGAGACGACAGGCACCAGCAAAGTCAACAAGCTTAGAAACTAGGGCCGACGCAGCAGTGGACTCAAACGAAGGGTCAGTGACAACAGTTGCTAGCAGACGCGTGACAGTAGGGCTGGCAGCACGAAGTAAGTGAGACTCCGGGTCCGGACCGTCAGCAAGGGAGGACGCAGGAGGAGATGGCAGAGGGACATGCAGTGGAACAGAGGAAGGACGAAGTGCCATCTGATGCGTGCCGGGGACAGGAGGAGGACGCTCACGCGGAACACGACGATTAGTGCGGACAGCGCGGACAGGCGACGCAGGACGAGACGCAGGCTTACGACGCTCTGTAAGACCTCCGGGCTGCTCAGCGTAGGGAGAAGGAGCCGGCACTGGGGAGGCTGGCTGTAACTGCGGCTGGGACTGGTCAGGCGGCGGACATAGTAAGGGAGGAGTAATGCCAGTAGAAGGCGGGAGATTAAGAACCTGCTGAATCAGTGGAATGAAGTACGGTCACGGCCGCACAGCTCCTCCAGAACCAGCATCGACAGCACCAGCACCTCCAGGGCCAGCACCTCCAGCTCCAGGGTCTCCAGCTGAAGCGCCTGCAGCACCACCTGCTCCAGCAGCTCCAGGACCTCCAGCTCCAGCAGCTCCAGTACCTCCAGTAGCTCCAGCTCCCGCAGCACCTCTAGCTCCAGCAGCTCCAGTACCCCCAGTACTAGCACCTGCGGGACTAGCGGCTCCAGCACCTCCAGCAGCTCCAGCTCCTGCAGCAACTCCAGCTCCAGCAGCTCCAGTACCTCCAGTACGAGCACCTCCGGGACCAGAGGCTCCAGCACCTCCAGCTCCTCCAGCGAAGGGGGGAGGGCGAACACCCCTCAAAGAAGGGAGTGCGAGGAGTGCCACGAGAAGCGCCTACAGTGACTATGCTAGTCTCAGCTGCAAAGGCGGACAGCTCGGGGAACAGGTAGGGCAGTAGAAGGCGGCCTAGAGCAGCAGTGGCCGGGGAGGAGTAACGAGCGACTACAGCGTCATACAGGGCTTTAGCAGTCTTGTGTTGGCCAAAGTGGGCGCGTTCGGCTAACGGCAGGTGGTTGCGAACGTTTAGGCGAGCAGCAGCGTCACGGGTAAGCCTCTGTGAGCAAGTCGCACTGTCAGCTGTGGCGGCAGGGGCGGGCGAGGCTGTAGACGTGAGGTCAAACAGCGACGTACCGTCCTTAGAGTTGCTCATATATGTACAGCTGTAAGTCATCGAGCCAAGAATCGAACTCTATCAAGCGGCCCTCCGGATCGAAGGTGAGGACGCTAAGAGTTGCCATAGTGGGCAGAGCAGGCGAGCGCGGTAGCAGCAGGGCAGCTTCAGCACGGCAGGGCAGGGCGGCGGCCAGCAGGGCTGCGCACAGGCAGAGCAGCTCGGCCTCTAGCAGCGCATGGGCAAGGCAGGGCGCGCTGCTGGTGGCGGCGCGCTGGCAGGGCAGGGCGCGCGGCAGCGGGCGGCGCGCGGGCAGGGCAGGGCGCGCGGCTGTTGGCAGCGCGCTGGCAAGGCAGGGCGCGCGGCAGCAGGTGGCGCGCGGGCAGGGCAGGGCGCGCGGCTGCTGGCGGCACGCTGGCAGGGCAGGGCGGGCGGCAGCGGGCGGCGCGCGGGCAACGCAGGGCGCGCGGCGGCAGGCGGCGCACGGGCAGGGCAGGGCGCGCGGCTGGCGGGCGGGGCGCGGGCAGAGCAGGGCGCGCAGCGGAGGGCGGCGCGCGGGCAGGGCAGGGCGCGCGGCTGGCGGGCGGCGCGCGGGCAGGGCAGGGAGCGAGGATGGCGGGCGGCGCGCGGGCAGGGCAGGGTGCGCAACGGCGGGCGACGCGCGGGCAGGGCAGGGCGCGCGGCTGGCGGGCGGCGCGCGGGCAGGGCAGGGCGCGCGGCTGGCGAGCGGCGCATGGGCAGGGCAGGGCGTGCGGCGGCGGGCGGCGCATGGGCAGGGTAGGGCGCGCGGCTGGCGGGCGACGCGCGGGCAGGGCAGGGCATGCGGCGGTGAGACTCGGTGGGGTAGCGCGATTCGGTAGGCCCTAAAAAAACGGTCCTAGGCTAGGACCTGCTCTTAAACCATGTCAGCAAAATGAACGAGAATGGATGAACTAGCAGCATGCAGGAGTACAAGTTGTAAACCCTAATTGGGTTGTACCCCATATGGGCTACCCCACTACAACCTACACAACATGCAGCATATGAGTTTGACAGGCTATAAACCTCAAACTAAACTAGTAACAAATGCTGCTGAAACGAATGCCCCGCTTGTACTGTTCAGGCGAATCGGCGGCCTGTAAAATCAATTTTTGCACACGTAAAGGTCATGTCTGAATGGCCCACATGGCAAGCTGCCGTTCACATATCGAGAATGACACATGGCAGAAATATCTATGCTTACGTGGCAAAATATCTTTGCGAGTGTACCAACATACGTACACTTGAAGTCGAAACTGTACGCATGCCACGTGGTAAATCGTGAAATTGCATATATGTGACTGAAATATATACTTCACGTATCCAAGGAGTGTCCGCTAAGTTGCGGTTGTGTTGCAGAAATGCAACTTTTTTGCAACTTTTCAGTGACTCGGATTTCTGCAACATTCGTCCATCATTGGAAAGTTGCGGGAGGCAAGTTTCTTAAAAGTAACCTTTTTGCAAGTTTCCCGCAACCTAGAAGTAAGTCCTTTTTCGCGAGGAAACTCTGCCGGATCTCTTCCTGCCCACTCAGCCTACCAGCCTGCTTCGGCTGATTTGGCTTGGCAACAAACGAGGCGCCGTACCTCCCAGATTGGTTGCTGCAGTATGCATTGGAGGTACGTATGTCTGTCCGTTTCTATATCTGCCCTCTTACTCATCGCCCCCCCTACTCCCAATCCCACTTACTCGTGCCCACTACTCACGCCAACTTATCGCACTTAGTACTTATCACCCCACTTATTGCCCCACCCTTGCTTCCCACCATCATCAACATCAGGTTCACGCCACCCGAGATGCCTCGTGGCAGGACGTGCAAGTGGCTGCGCCTACGGACTAGCGCAATCAGCGGGGCAGACGATTCTCTTGATGGGCAATGAAATGGACGACCAGGTTAGCGTAAAAAACAGCACATTTGGTGTAATTTTTCAGTTAGTGACCAGCAAGTCGATTCTGCGCGCATCCATGGCTTTTGAAGTTCGATTCCGAATCTCTGGAGACTTAACCGAACGCAGATCCGACGACCATCACAGCAGAGAATCAAACCGTTCTGGCGATGAAGCATTGGTATCCTCCCACGCGGACTTGTCCCTCGATGTTTCTCCAAAGGAGCCTCTCCGATCAGTATTCAACAGACTGTTTCAATCGCATGCCAAACTGCTGCTTGCCGTGCGATGCACATCACGTGCAGCAGCAGAGAGCGAACGATAATGGGGAAGCGGAGGAAACTGACCCGGTGAGTGGGATGCAGCTGGTTCGGTTTATGGTGATAGGTCGATGGTGTACCTCTCTCCTGTCTGCACTGTGGAGCAAGCGAATCTCAAATCACGTTCCACAATCAAGGTGCTTCCCGTAAAGAATGTTGTGCAGGACGAAAAGGGAGCGCTGCATGTGAGCGCTGCATGTGAGCGCTGCATGTGAGCGCTGCATGTGAGCGCTGCATGTGAGCGCTGCATGTGAGCGCTGCATGTGAGCGCTGCATGTGAGCGCTGCATGTGAGCGCTGCATGTGAGCGCTGCATGTGAGCGCTGCATGTGAGCGCTGCATGTGAGCGCTGCATGTGAGCGCTGCATGTGAGCGCTGCATGTGAGCGCTGCATGTGAGCGCTGCATGTGAGCGCTGCATGTGAGCGCTGCATGTGAGCGCTGCATGTGAGCGCTGCATGTGAGCGCTGCATGTGAGCGCTGCATGTGAGCGCTGCATGTGAGCGCTGCATGTGAGCGCTGCATGTGAGCGCTGCATGTGAGCGCTGCATGTGAGCGCTGCATGTGAGCGCTGCATGTGAGCGCTGCATGTGAGCGCTGCATGTGAGCGCTGCATGTGAGCGCTGCATGTGAGCGCTGCATGTGAGCGCTGCATGTGAGCGCTGCATGTGAGCGCTGCATGTGAGCGCTGCATGTGAGCGCTGCATGTGAGCGCTGCATGTGAGCGCTGCATGTGAGCGCTGCATGTGAGCGCTGCATGTGAGCGCTGCATGTGAGCGCTGCATGTGAGCGCTGCATGTGAGCGCTGCATGTGAGCGCTGCATGTGAGCGCTGCATGTGAGCGCTGCATGTGAGCGCTGCATGTGAGCGCTGCATGTGAGCGCTGCATGTGAGCGCTGCATGTGAGCGCTGCATGTGAGCGCTGCATGTGAGCGCTGCATGTGAGCGCTGCATGTGAGCGCTGCATGTGAGCGCTGCATGTGAGCGCTGCATGTGAGCGCTGCATGTGAGCGCTGCATGTGAGCGCTGCATGTGAGCGCTGCATGTGAGCGCTGCATGTGAGCGCTGCATGTGAGCGCTGCATGTGAGCGCTGCATGTGAGCGCTGCATGTGAGCGCTGCATGTGAGCGCTGCATGTGAGCGCTGCATGTGAGCGCTGCATGTGAGCGCTGCATGTGAGCGCTGCATGTGAGCGCTGCATGTGAGCGCTGCATGTGAGCGCTGCATGTGAGCGCTGCATGTGAGCGCTGCATGTGAGCGCTGCATGTGAGCGCTGCATGTGAGCGCTGCATGTGAGCGCTGCATGTGAGCGCTGCATGTGAGCGCTGCATGTGAGCGCTGCATGTGAGCGCTGCATGTGAGCGCTGCATGTGAGCGCTGCATGTGAGCGCTGCATGTGAGCGCTGCATGTGAGCGCTGCTGCGCCCGTTGCCGCACTTGCTGCTGAGATGCCTCCCACTTCTTCTGCTGCTGCTTCTACTGCTATTGCTCGTTCTCCTGCCGCACCTACTGCCGCAATCCCTCCTGTTTCCGCGGCTCCTGCTGCTCAAGCTGCTGCACCTACCGCTGCTGGCGTCACGAGGCCACGTAGGATCGACTACAGCAAGTGGGACCACATCGGCTCCGGCAGCAACGAAGACGAGGAGGGCGAGGAGCACACGGCGTCACTGAATGGACACGCACCAGGGAGAGGCGGAGGGAGAGGAAAGACGGTCTTGTTGGAAGCCCAGAATCCCGTCGAAACCTGCAATGCTGGTCTTTCGGAGCTCAAGGAGGCGATTTGGCTTGATCGTCACGAGTTGGTGAAAATATGGAATGTTCAAGAGGAGGCGGTTGGAGCCAGAAAGGCATGTGCGCGGAAGGCCGGGGTGTCAGGGGAAATACCGAGGAAGCTCCAGCTGCTGTGCCGGGCGGACATGGTTCACTACTTGGACGTGATAGGCAGGTGGGATGTGGCTGAATGCGGGCGCTGCTTCCACCACGCTATGAGCCTCCGAGCAGAGCGAGCTCTCGAGCGTGCTCTCACCATGGAGAGCCTTGACTTCGTCCGATCCCTCCTGCACAACCCGCAGCCTAGCGCCACCCCTTGCACGCCCAAACGGAGTCAGCAAGGGTGTGCTGGAGTATTCTGAGAGAGTGCCGGCGTTTGGGAAGCAAGGGGAGCCGGCAGCAGCGCCTTCTCACGTGCAGTTCGCGTGCAAGAGTGCTCTGGCGCCGTTCCTCTGTGTGGAGGCGATGCTGCTCGAGTGGATGGCTGAGCCTCGTGTGGGCGTGCTCATGGACTTAGGAAAAAACAGATCCCGCCTGCCTGCTATTCTCTGTACTGCTACATCTGCTGCAGCTGTTGCTTCCTCTTCTCCTGCTCCTGCTGCTGCTGCTGCTCTCCCTGCTGTGTCACCTGCGTGGTCCCGCTGCTGGCGCTGCAGCAGCTGCTGGGGTGCCTACCGACGTGCTGTCAGCCTCGTTGCCTTCCTCGTGCTTGTGGCGAGGTGGCCCCGGTTCGACACCATGTGGAAAACCCACGTGGATACATACGACACGGTTTACCCAGCCTTGGTGGCCGAACTGGGGGCGGGCAGGCAGGTGGAGAACGACAGCTGTGCGTCCATGCTGGTGCAGGTGCTGGGGGTGAAGGAGAGCGCTGACCTGCAGGAAGGGTTTGGGTTCTTTGCGCGGCATCTGCTCTCAGAGGGCCTCGAGAAGGCGCATGCAGAGGGGAGGAGGGGGGCCGGGGAGAAGGATTCAACGAGTGTGGGGCAGTTAGGACAAGCTGCGATGGCCGTGGCACGGAGGATGCGGAGGAGGCCGGCCGACTGGGGGGGGAACATGGATGAATCTGGAGTGAACCTGGGCAAAGGTGACCTGGTGAGGTGTGTGAATCTGCCATTTCACTGGTGATGATGGGGGGAGTGGAACAGGAAGTTCAGGTGGTTGTGGGGGGGTGGAGAGGGGTGGCTGTAGGGGTGGAAGGAATGGAAAGGATGAGGAGTGGAGGGAGCCTCTGAAGGGGCGTGTGTGGGAGAGGTATGTGGATGGCATGGCTTGGATTTTGGAGCATGGAGGTGGGGAAGGGAGGGAGTTCAGGTGCAGCCACTGCAGTGACAGGGGCAGCAGTAGCTGCAGCAGCAGCAGCAGCAGCAGCGGCGGCGGCGGCGTCGGCGGCGGCGGCAGCAGCAGCAGCAGCAGCAGTTGCAGTAGCAGCAGCAGCAGCAGTAGCAGCAGCAGCAGCGGCAGCAGTAGCAGCAGCAGCAGCAGCAGCAGCAGCAGCAGCAGCAGCAGCAGCAGCAGCAGCAGCAGCAGCAGCAGCAGCAGCAGCAGCAGCAGCAGCAGCAGCAGTAGCAGCAGCAGCAGCAGCAGCGGCGGCAGCAGTAACAGTGTGGAAGGCAAGGATATGCCCTAGGGCATGTAGTGAGTGGCGTGGGTGCGACTGACCTCGCCCTGCCATTCGCCTCAGTGTTCTCCCGACCAGAGCACCGCAAGCTGGCAGCAATGTTCTTCGTGGGGTCTAGGAGCACACCCACTGGCAGCGTGGAGGATGCAGCCATCGAGGCGGCCTGTGAGAGGCTCAGACAGGCAGGTATGGCAAGCGGGGTGCGCGAGGGAAGGGCAACAGGAGGAGGAGGACTGGAGCTTGCAGCATCAACTGCACCAGCAACACGGCCTCCTGCTCCCAGTGTTGCCGCTGTCTCGGCCCTGGCTGGGTCTTCTCTTGGCAGGAGCGGTTCCACCGGCAACAGTGATTGGCTCAATCCTGGCCTCGTTTCTGTCAACGGCAGTGCGATGCTGAGCAGCGGTCCTTCTGGCCTCGTGCCTGTAACCACAGACCCCGCTCTTGGTCTCTTCACGTATCGGGTTGCTTGCATCTTGCAGTGGCTTCGGATCTACGGCTCATATTTCATCTCCACAACGATGTGCTGCAAGAACAACCCACAGGGAAGGGTCCTGCCCATGCTCCACCCGGTTCGAGATCTTCCGAACCTGTTGGCCAGGTTCGGCGCCGTTCTCCAGCCTACGGTCGGAAGCAGCTGCTTTCCTGAATGGGAGGAGTGGCCCCAGGGGGACGAAGCTACTATGAACTTTCCTGATGACCCAAGCACCAGATGTTTCTGGCTGGGCCGTGCGGATGGCAGACAGGGTCTCGAGAACAATGGCCATCCTTCAGCTGCAATGCAGCAGGGAAGAACCCGGAAAACGCGGAAAGCTCCCAGCAAAGAACCGCTTCCTCCTCCTCGGAGCGATATGCGTCCCATCCTGCGCTGCAGGGCAGATGCGGACTTGATAGTTGAGTTTGCCGGTATGCTCTTTGAGCCACCGGTGTGCGCCCACTGCAGCGCATGCATCGTCACATACACTCTCCTAGTCCCCTTTGTCGCTCTCGTTGCCAACTTCGCCTACCGCCCCGCCTCCGTCCTTCTCGACCACTTCGTCTCCGTCTTCCCGCCCCACACCGCTGAGTTTCACGATGTTGTGAACCGGTGGTCGCACACCGCATTGCAGCCTGCATGCGCTGTGGGAATGGGTAGAGCAGGTTCCGGTCTCCTTCCTGCTCGCCCTTGCCCTTTTCTTCCCTAAGGAGCTCTTGCAGCAGAGTGGGATTCAAGGCGAGCTGAACTCGTGGGCTGCTGGAAGAGGCTATGGGGCGAAAGGGAAGGCTGGCAGGAGGAGGGCGAGGAGTGGGGACTGTGTGGACGGTGGGGAAGTGGGGGGAGGTGGGCTTGGTGAAGGTGATCGTGGGGGTGTGTGGGAGGAGGTGCAGTCATGGTCCGTGGTGGCAATGCTACCGGCCGGTGCCATGGAGGGAGGCGGGCCCGCCTGCAGCGGCAGCCAGGCAATGAAGCGTGCTACAACCGCACACAAGAGATTGATTGCCAATATGTTTGACTGCTCTCTGCTTCCCAGGTTCTGTGAAGACGTGAAGCACATGAGCGGGCGTGGCAGTGCCTGTGGCAGTAGCGGCAGCAAACGGAAGAGCAAGAAAGCGGAGGAGGCGGCTTATTTGAAGGCATGGCCGGGGGGAGTCAATCTGGTGGCTTGTCTGCGAGAGATGCTGCTGGGGGAGCCTTGCTACCAACCGGCCTCCGATGCTGCTTGCTCCACCTCAAGTGCTGTAAGCACCCGTGCTGCGTCGTCAGTTGCTGCATCAGGATGCTCAGCTACTGCTGCACTTCTTCTGACGAGTCAACCACTATCGCTGCACTGAGCACAGCTGCAGCAGACGTTTCAACAGCGAGCGGTATTTCAAATGTTGAAGCCGCTGGTGCTGCTGCTTGTGGGGAGCGTGTGTTCGGTGCAACTGCCACACAAGGCTCTGGTCTTGCCCCTAGTAGGGGGCGTGTGTGCGGTGCTGCGGGGTGTGGGAGGATGGAGGGTGGTGATGTGAAGCTAAAGAGTTGCGGTGGGTGTGGCAAGGTGGCATATTGCAGCAGAGACTGCCAAATGGCGCACTGGCCCTCCCACAAGCTCACATGCCCTGGGAGGACCAACGGGAAGAGAAAAGAGAAGAACAGTGGCAAGGTGAGTGGTAGGATGAAGGTGAAGGTGAAGGTGAGTGGTACTGAATCTAGCGAAAAGGTGTTTTACTTTTTTCTTGCGATGTATCCTGCCTTAAGAGCACGGTCTACATTTAGCCCAGGGACCTCATTGCCCTACGAAAATTAGGCTTGAGGCGTGCGAGGAGATTAATCAATCTGTTAAGCCTTTCTTCCAAGTTGGTGGGGCTGCAGGGTACAGTGGCCAGGTTGCACTTTGATAGGTTGGTGGGATTGTAAGGCGTGCGGATGAGGGGAGTGTTACTGGGGGAGCAGGATGGGGATGGGGGGGTTGCGGGGAAAAAGGGACGGATGTGGATCGCAGTTGGGGGGTGGCTTTCAAATTGCTGAGCGTGGGCATAGTCGAAGTTCCTAGCTGACTTACATGGAAATCCAAGGTCCAAATGAACGCCAGAGTCCAAAATCTGCAGCAATGAACGTGTGATGCTCATGCTGGTAAGACCATAGGTATGTGTAACTGCTGCTCTATGGTCCGAACGGTTTAGATACTGGCTCATCTGTTTCTTGCTAGCGACTTGGCTGATGCACCTGTGTCTCGGCAATGACATGGATGGCTATTGATGGAATTCTCCTCTCTGTCCTCAATAGCTATGGATGGCTAAAGCTGATTCAAATCATGTGTGTCCTCTATCGTTCCCCCCACCAGCCCTCCCTCCCCTCCCCTCCCCCCACTCCGGCCCCAACTCATCTTAAATTCTCACTTCACCTGTTTACACTCATGCACTTACACCCTGACTCACTCACACTTGCTCTGGACAGGCCTGAAGCACTCGTTGTGTGCAGTTATGTGCTCGTGCAAGACTTTCAGTCGCTCGTTGCACCTTGCTTGGATGGCGCTGTGTTTTGGATTGAGACCAGGCTTAGCCCGAGGCAACAGATGTTTTGCCACCGACTTCAGGCTTTGCCCGAGTCATTGTCGCTCTCCTCTGGTTCTCATCAGGCCGGGGTTAGGGAGGGTAAAGTGAAACATTTTTTAAGTTGGAATATTGTTTGCTACCGTATTCTCCCAGACTGGGAGAGAAAGGGTGGGGCTGCAGGGGAGGTCTTATTGCCGGAAAATTACGGAACAAGGTATGATTGTGGTCTCACTGACACATTCTACAAGAGGATTGTATTGCCCATATGCTGGTGTCTCCTCCCCCATCACGAACTGCACACACGGCAGCAGAGGGTGTTGGAGTATGAAGGGAATTGAGTTTGGCATTCCCGTAGGTGCAGCTGTATCGCACCCGTCACTATCGAAGCAGCACTAGCAGCAGTATCGGATCAGCCCGTATCAAGGGCAGGAAGGTCAACAGTTGCAAAGGTCAACTGTCGCGACCGGTGACCATCTGGACCCATTGACTCACCATCGAGGAATGGCAACGTGCGTAACCGTCTGTACGGTTACACGCAGCGACTCGGTAACAAGAAGAAGTGCAATAGTCAGAGTCACTGTAGAATTGCCTGTAAAGCAGTTGTAATAAGGGAATGTATCCCTCAGAGTACATGGCTAGCTAGATCTATTTATTGTGTGTGAATTATGTTTTAATCAACTTTGTAATTTCCATTCACTATGATCAGAGTTCCTACCACAAAGACTTCCACTACCAAACTCTCTAAGGCATTTCTATCCTATCCAAGATTTCTTACTCTAGCAGAGGGCAGAGAATAGAGAGGAGCATGGAGTTGTAATGCACATCCATCCATCATAATGACTTTCCCCACTACGTCAGTGGTCATGGCCACACTATAACATGCGAATCCCATCTTTCCTTACCAGACTGCAATGCACCTCACACCATGCTTCGACATTTCACGTACCTGCTCCTCTTCCCTTCGCTACTTCAAAGTGAAGTCGTGACATGCCGTGCGGCTTATTTAGACTGGCTCATCCTAGGATGCCTCACCTTAAGTCCGTCTTACTTTAGCCACGCATCGCCTTACGCCTGTCTCACCTTAAGCATGTCTGTAAGGAAGCTGGGTGCTGCTGCAGGCCGCGGCACTCCAAAGAGGCGGAAGGCAATATTGTCCAGCAGCCGTGAGGGCGACACCCACACGAATTTAAATGTGAATGCACAGTTACGGGTAGGGACGAAGGAGGGGGGGTGGGGGGGGGGAAGGCGTAAACGGGGTCATAAGACGAGCTGAGGGAAAATATATCCCAGGAGATACAAAGCAGGGTTTTCAAAGGCGAGAGTGTAGGGTGCAAGGAGGGCACAGGCTCCAGCAGAGATTTGAGGCGCCTCAAAGCGAGGGCATAGGCTCCAGCAGAGAGTGTACATGAGCAATGCTAAGGGCAAAGCGTGATGGCATAGTAGCCAACCAATGAAACTTTTGCGCAGCCATGGCACCGACGTAGATCTCAGCATCAGCGCTAGACTGCGCCACAGACGAGGGCCGAGTGGACCTCCACGACACAGCACCATATCCCAAGCTGAAGCAGTGCCCCTGAGTAGACCGCTGGGTCTTTGTTAGAATATGGACCTTGGATAGGATAGGTCGGCTAGAGTTGGTAGCGGAAGTCTTTTGTAGTAGTGGAACCGTGATCATAGTGAATGTAAATGACAAGATTGATTAAAATAAATCATTACACACAGTGTATAGATCCTAACTAGCCATGTACTGTAAGGAGTGCATTCCCTTAAACAACTGTAATACAGGCATCGCTACAGCAGCAATGACTATTGTGATCCTTTAGTTACCGTGTTGCTGCTTGTAACTGTAGGGACAGTTATGACCGTTGAAGTTCCTCGCAACCGTTTCGTCCAGGTTAGTCAACAGTCGCGACAACAGGGAGGGATTGGGTGTAGTGAGAGCACTGAGGACGATCGGGGTTGCGGTGGTGCTCCGCGCCTTGCCACTGGCCATGTGGGGTCTGTTACCTGTTGGCAGGAGGGTTTGAGACAATGGGGATGGAAGTGAGGCAGTGGGGATGGAAGTGAGGCAGTGGGGATGGAAGTGAGGCAATTAAAGGAGGCATAGCGGCAAGGAAGGCAGCTGCTGTGGTGACCTGATGCTCCATGCCCTGCCACTACCGTCACATGTGAGAAATGAATAGGTCCCAATTCCCAAGAGTGAGAGAGTGGGTGGGAAAAGACTGAGTGGTAGTGAGGGTTTGTCCTAACGATGGCCTAAAGGAGACTTTTCATAAAACCGCAATGACTGCCAAGCAACCCGTGTTTCCTGACTTCCCATGACGGAAAAAGGCCATTCCCTGTTCGTCATCAGCTCGCATAATTGGCGTTTTAATCTTATTTCTTCCTGGTTGCTTTTATCCAACAACTGCTGCCTGTCACCGCTGCAGCACCTTCACCAGCACCTACCATTGTGATTGCTAACGCCATACCTTGACTGGCGGTTTCCTGGGCACAGACTGCATGTGCCACACGTTGGGAAAAATAAAGCGAGGCACCCAGCTGGTGGGGGGGTGGTGGCAGGCGCGAGGGGTGGGAGGGGTGGCGATGGAAGAAGGGGGCGGAGATGCAGACGGTGGAAGGGAGGGAGACTAAGTGAAAGCAAGGATTTTCCAGGTTGGGGACGAGAGGGTTGAATGAGTCGACTCAAAAGACAGTTCAATGATGGTGAGGACGATAGGGGTCAAGAGGAAAAGCACGTGGTTTATAGCAGGGTATACTCAAAAGGCAGTGGGGTGGGATAATAGAGGGTTTGCGACACGAAGGAGGGAAGGGGTGTGGTGGAGGGAGATGCAGCACTCCACGTCTGCGTACTCTCATTCCTCCTAATCACTGTCCCCTTTCCCAACTCTCTCACCTCACTCTCCTTCCACTGCCCTCACCTAACCTCTCCCGCCCTGAAGCGGATCGAATGCCGCACTGATCCAGAGTGGAGCGTTCATCCAGCTGTCAGAGGAAGAGACAGGTACAAAGCGGTGGAGAGTGGTTGAGAGCAATGTGGTGTGATGAATAGAGGAGCGCATCGAATGCCGCACTGATCCAGAGTGGAGCGCTCATCCAGCCGAAAACGGCAGGCATGAAAGGGAGGAGCAAAGCGGTGGAGAGTGGTTGTGATGTGATGACCAGAGGAGCACATCAAATGCCGCACTGCTCCAGAATGGAGCGCTCATCCAGCTGCAAAAGGCACACAGCGAGAGGGTGCACAGCGGTGGGGACTGATTTGAAGTGGTTCAAGGAGTGGTGACAGAGTGTGAAACCGGATCGAGCAGCATGTATGGAATCATAGTCATACGAACTGGTAGAAGGGTAAAGAGAGGTTGAGAAATCAACAGTGAGTTAGGGAGGCGATTAGTCATTCAACTAAGAAATAAGCCAAGGAAAGAACAGCACAGTGAAGTGAAGAGGGTGTGGTCATTCAAGCAAGAGGGCACGTGCTCATTCGATTCACAAGCTAGTCATCCACTCATGCTCATGCTCATGCTCATGCTCATGCTCATGCACATGCTCATGCTCTGATGCTCATGCTCATGCACATGCTCATGCTCATGCTCATGCGCATTCGCTGTAATTCTCCCACAAATCACCACACTCACACAGCTAGTGCTCTTACCTCCACCCCATTGAACACCAGTGATGCAACGCCCCCTGCTGCCAGCGCCACGCTTTGATCTCGCAACACATGTTGTGCCACCCCGCCTGCTGTCTCCTCCCGCCCCGCACTCACTCGCACCAGCTCACACGCCCGGCTGGGACCGGGGAGGGAGTGGGGTGAAAAAAGCAGGAGAGAGAGAGAGGGACGGGGGAGGGTTGCGTCTATTATATACGCATCCGCTGGCCCCGCCCTCACTCACACCAGTTCACACTCTCGGTTTGGATTAGGGAGGGAGTGGGGCGGGAAGAAGGGGGTTGGCGGGTTTGGGGGAAGTGCAGGGTTTTGGTGGGGTTGTGGGGGTGGAGAGAGCAGCAGCGAAGTGTGAGCATTAAATTGGCTTCACTCGCTTCTGCCATCCCTGCAACCACTCGTACCAGCTCACACGCTCGGCTAGGACCGGGCAGGGAAAGGGGTGAGAAGAAGGGTGGGGGGTTGGAGGCGGTTGGGTGGTTGGGGGGTGGGTGGGGAGGAGGTGGGCTTCTTTCAATCTCGCACTGATTCTGCCCTCATTAAGTTTCCTTTTTTTAGTCGACTAAAAAATCGGTTCCCTTCCATCTCAAGCAGTTACTGCCCAGTGCCCTGAATGAGTTGCCCTACTTCGCCGCAAGCAAACCACATTCCTAACCGGCTCCTCCCACCCCACCACCGCACACGTGTCAGCCTAAGTTATAATCCTAGGCATACTCCTACCCGGCTCTTCCATCCTTCCCCACATCGCACCTCGTCTCCATCAGCAGCACCACTTTCACGGTCCACTTCCTCCCTTCCATCTCGGATAGGAGACAGCCCTATTCCCTGAATAAGTTGCCTCACGTCACCACAGCCCGCATTCCTACCCGGCCGCATCTGTTGGCCATCAACAGCGTCCCTTCCACCTCCTAGGGTTACCACCCTGAATCGTTTTCCCTAACCCTAATCTAACCCTAACCCTAACCCTAACCCTAACCTAAGCCCTAGCCCTAGTACCCGGCTTCCCCACCCCCACCGCACCTGTCACATCAGCAGCAGCATTTCTTCCACCTCCTGCGGTTACCACCCTGAATTGCTTACCCTAACCCTAACCCTAGCCCTAACCCTTACCCTAACCCTATCCCTAACCTTAGGGCGAGCCCTACCGTCTCCGCGCCCCCACCGCACCTGTCCGCCATCAGCAGCAGCACTTCCACCTCCTGCCCGCCCGTGTCGCCCGCCATCGTCTTGCGCCTCGCGGTTTGTGCCTTGCGCCTTTCGCCTTGTCCCTTGCGCCGTGCGGTTTCCGCCTCACGCCTTGTGTGCTGCCACGTTGACCTGCCGTCAAGCCCCCTCCCTGCCTTTCGCTTGCTTCCTTAGCTTCCGCACGCCCTGTACCTCACGACGTGCCTCTTCCCTTCACCACCTCCTCCTCGCCAACACGGCTCACCAACTGCCGTTCAATCCTGTCAACCTCTCCGCCCCGTTTTTGAAAAATTCTTATAAGTGTCTCTCTCGCCTCTCAGCGCCCTCGCCCGCCGCTCAGGTTCCTTCCTTCACGCCGCGCCCCACCTGCTTCGCCCTTCGACGATTCGCCACGCGCTGATTGGCTGGGACGAAGCCGACACTGATAGGCCCTGGTTGTCGTCTGTGACAGTATCGGGTGACGCACAAACTTGTGTTCACTGTATCGAGAGCTACTATAGCGACGAGACGGCAATGGCATTCACTCTGAATGAGTTCAAGGAGCATTCGGAATCCTCGGTGGTAACGGATCCGTTTGTGGAAGGTGATCTTCGAACGCCGTGCTTTCTACGTACCCTCACGTGCTCAACGCGTCACTAGGAATTGTAAGCCCGGACGTATCGCTACAGTGGCAAGAAACAATGGTTATAGCCTAAATCTGGTTACAGAATCCAATTATGAACTAGTATGACACGCCCTAAAAACTACCCCACACTACACTTTTGGTACTCCTCCACCCACAACCTTCGGCTCTCGTCTCGTCTTGTCTCGCAATCTTGTCTCGTAATTGTGGCTCAATTGATCCCTGCTGATATCGGGTAACGCCAGCAGGTTCCCGATTCGCCGAATTTCGCAGTAAGAGTGGCGACTTCCGAAATCCTGGGTGAATCACGGAAATTCGTACTTTCTTCCGTTGACAGTCGGTACAGAAAACTAATACTTTCTTCTTGTTGGAACTTGCGGCTCCTAGGTCTACGACGCACCTGCTAACACGCTCTTTTTTGGGGTACGTAACACACTCTAACAAGCGCAATCAGCTGAGCAGACGATTCTCTTGTTCGGCTCGGCAATGCAAGCAGCACATATGGACGACCAAGTTAGCGTCAAAAACAGCACATTCGATTATTTATCAGTGACAGACTCCAGCTAGTGACCAGCAAGTCGGTTCTGCGCACATCCATGGCTTTTGAAGTTCGATTCCGAATTTCCGGAGACTTAACCGAACGCAGATCCGACGACCATCACAGCAGGAAATAAAACCGTTCTGGCGATGAAGCATCGGTATCTTCCCACGCGGACTTGTCCCTTGCTGTTTCTCCAAAGGAGCCTCTCCGATCAGTATTTAACAGACTGTTTCGATCGCATCTGCCAAACTGCTGCTTGCCGTGCGATGCACGTCACGTGCAGCAGCAGAGAGCGAACGGCGGTGGGGAAGTGGAGGAAAGTGACGCGGTGAGTGGGACGCAACCGGTCCGGTTCATGGTGATAGGTCAGGTGGTGTACCTCTCTCCTGACTGCACGGTGGAGCAAGCGAAGCTCAAATCGAGTTCCACTATCAAGGTGCTTCCGGTAAAGACTGTCGTGCATGGGGACGGGGGAAAGATCAACGACGGGGCTGAAGCGGTGCGTGTGAGCACTCCTGCCGCTGCAGCTGCTGCAAACTTGCCTTCTGATGTTGCTTCGACCCCTGCACCTGCTGTTCCTGCTGCTGCTCCCGTTGCCGCACTTACTGCTGAGATGCCTCCCATTTCTGCTGGTGCTGCTTCTGCTGCTGTTGCTCGTTCTCTTGCTGCACCTACTGCCGCAATCCCTCCTGTTGCTGCGGCTCCTGCTGCTCAAGCTGCTGCACCTACCGCTTCTGGCGTCACGAGGCCGCGTAGGATCGACTACAGCAAGTGGGACCACATCGGCTCCGGCAGCGACGAAGACGAGGAGGGCGAGGAGCGCACGGCGTCACTGAATGGACACGCACCAGGGAGAGGCGGAGGGAGCGGAAAGACGGTCTTGTTGGAAGCCCAGAATCCCGTCGGAACCTGCAATGCTGGTCTTTCGGAGCTCAAGGAGGCGATTTGGCTTGATCGTCACGAGTTGGTGAAAACATGGAATGTTCAAGAGGAGGCGGTTTGGGCCCGAAAGGCATGTGCGCGGAAGGCCAGGGTGGTGTCAGGGGGAGTGGGAGCTCGGGAAGTACCAAGGAAGCTTCAGCTGCTGTGCCGGGCGGACATGGTTCACTACTTGGACGTGAGAGGCGGGTGGGATGTGGCTGAATGCGGGCGCTGCTTTCACCACGCTATGAGCCTCCGAGCAGAGCGAGCTCTCGAGCGTGCTCTCACCATGGAGAGCCTCGAGGTCGTTCGATCCCTCCTGCACAACCAGCAGCCTGGCGCCACCCCTCCTGCACGCCCAAACGGAGTCAGCAGGGATGTGGTGCAATACTCTGCGCGAGTGCCGGCGTTTGGGAAGCAAGGGGAGTCCGCGGCGCCTTCTCACGTGCAGTTCGCGTGCAAGAGTGCTCTGGCGCCGTTCCTCTGTGTGGAAACGATGCTGCTCGAGTGGATGGCTGAGCCTCGTGTGGGCGTGCTCATGGACTTAGGAAAAAACAGATCCCGCCTGCCTGCTATTCTCTGTACTGCTATATCTGCTGCAGCTGTTGCTTCCTCTTCTCCTCCTCCTGCTGCTGCTGCTCTCCCTGCTGTGTCACCTGCGTGGTCCTGCTGCTGGCGCTGCAGCAGCTGCTGGGCGGCCTACCGTCGTGCTGTCAGCCTCGTTGCCTTCCTCGTACTTGTGGCGAGGTGGCCCCGGTTCGACACCATGTGGAAGGCCCACGTGGATACATACGACGCGGTCTACCCAGCCTTGGTGGCCGAACTGGGGGCGGGCAGGCAGGGGGAGAGCGACTGATGTGCGTCCATGCTGGTGCAGGTGCTGGGGGTGAAGGAGAGTGGTGACCTGCAGGAAGGGTTTGGGTTCCTCGTGCGGCATCTGCTTGCAGACGGCCTCGAGAATGCGCATGCGGAGGGGAGGCGGGGAGCCGGGGAGAAGGGTTCGGCGAGTGTGGGGCAGATAGGACAGGCAATGCTGGCCAAGGCACGGATGATGCGGAGGGGGCCGGGCGACTGGGGGGGAATCATGGACGAGCCTGGAGTGAACATGGGCAAAGGTGGTGACCTGGTGAGGTGCGTGAATCTGGCATCTCATGCTGGTGATGATGGGGGGAGTGGAACAGAAGGCACAGGTGGTAGTGGCGGGGTGGAGAGGGGTGGTTGTAGGGGTGGGAGGAGTGGAAAGGATGAGGAGTGGAGGGGGCGTCTGAAGGGACGTGTGTGGGAGAGGTATGTGGATGGCATGGCTTGGATTTTGGAGCATGGAGGTGGGGAAGGGAGGGAGTTCAGGTGCAGCCACTGCAGTGACAGGGGCAGCAGTAGCTGCAGCAGCAGCAGCAGGAGCAGCAGCAGCGGCGGCGGCGGCGGTGGCGGCAGCAGCGGAGGCGGCGGCCGCGGCGGCGGCGGCAGCAGCAGTAGCAGCAGCAGCAGCGGCAGTAGTAGCAGCAGTGTGGAAGGCAAGGATATCCCCAAGGGCATGTATGGGTGCCACTGACCTCGCCCTGGCATTCGCCTCCGTGTTCTCCCGGCCAGAGCACCGCAAGCTGGCAGCAATGTTCTTCGTGGGGTCTAGAAGCACACCCACCGGGAGCATGGAGGATGCAGCCATCGAGGCGGCCTGTGAGAGGCTCAGACAGGCAGGTATGGCAAGCGGGGTGCGCGAGGGAAGGGCAACAGGAGGAGGAGGACTGGAGCTTGCAGCATCAACTGCACCAGCAACACATCCACCTGCTCCGAGTGCTGTCGCTGTCTCAGCCCTGGCTGGGTCTTCTCTTGGCAGGAGCGGTTCCACCGGCAACAGTGATTGGCTCAATCCTGGCTTCGTTCCCGTCAACGGCAGTGCGATGCTCAGCAGCGGTCCTTCTGGCCTCCTGCCTGTAAACACTGACCCCGCTCTTGGTCTCCTCACATATCGGGTTGCTTGCATCTTGCAGTGGCTTCGGATATACGGCTTCAAATTTCATCTCCGCAAAGACGTGCTTTAAGGACAACCCACATGGAAGGGTCCTGCCCATGCGCCACCCGGTTCGGGATCTTCCGAACCTGTTGGCCAGGTTCGGCGCTGTTCTCCAGCCTACGGTCGGAAGCAACTGCTTTCCTGAATGGGAGGAGTGGTCTGAAGGGGACGAAGCTGCTATGAAGTTTCCTGATGACTCTAATGCCAGATGTTTCTGGCTGGGTAGGGCGGAGGGCAGGCAGGGTCTCGGGAACAATGGCCATGTGGCAGCCGCAGCGAAGCAGGGAAGAACCCGGAAAGCGCGGAAAGCTCCCAGCAAAGAGCCGCTTCCTCCTCCTCGGAGCGAGATGCGTCCCATCATCCGCTGCAGGGCAGATGCGGACTTGATAGTCGAGTTTGCCGAAATGCTCTTGGATCCACCGGTGTGCGCCCACTGCAGCACATGCATCGCCACATACACCACCCTAGTCCCCTTTGTCGCTCTCGTTGCCAACTTCGCCGATCGCCCCGCCTCCGCCCTTCTCGACCACTTCGTTTCCATCTTCCCGCCCCACACCGCGGAGTTTCAATATATTGTCAACCGGTTGGTGCTGGACGGTCGCACACGGCGTTGCAGCGCGCATGCGTTGCGCGAAAGGGTAGAGCAGGTTCCAGTCTCCTTCCTGCTCGCCCTTTGCCTTCTTCACCCGAAAGAGCTCTTGCACTTCCAGCAGAGTGGCACTCAAGGCGAGCTGAACTCGTGAGCTGCTGGACGAAGCTATGAGGCGAAAGGGAAGGCGGGAATGAGGAGGGCCAGGAGTGGGGACTGTGTGGAGAGTGGGAACAGTCGTGGTTCATGGAGGTAGGCGGGCCCGCGTGCAGCGGCAGCCAGTCAATGAAGTGCGCTACAACCGCACACAAGAGATTGGTTGCAAAGATGTTTGACTGCTCTTTGCTGCCCAGGTTCTGCGAAGACTTGAAGCACACGGGTGGGCGTGGCAGTGCCTGTGGCAGCAGCGGCAGCAAAGGGAAACGCAAGAAGGCGGAGGAGGCGGCTTATCTGAAGGCATGGCGGGGGGTAGTCAATCTGGTGGCTTGTCTGCGAGAGATGCTGCTGGGGGAGCCTTGCTACCGCCCTGCCTCCGATGCTGCTCGCTCCACCTCAGCTGCTGTAAGCACGCATGCTGCGTCGTCAAGTGCTGCGTCGTCAAGTGCTGCACCAGGATACTCAGCTACTGTTGCACCTTCTTCTGACGAGTCAACCACTATCGCCGCACTGAGCACAACTGTAGCAGACGTTTCGACAAATGTTGAAATGCAGCTGAGCGTTACTTCGAAAGTTGAAGCCGATGGTGCTGCTGCTTGTGGGGGGCGCGTGTGTGGTGCAACTGCCACACAAGGCTCTGGTCCTGCCCTTAGTAGAGGGCGTGTGTGCGGTGCTGCAGGGTGTGGGAGGGTGGAGGGTGGTGCTGTAAAGCTGAGGAGTTGCGGGGGGTGTGGCAAGGTGGCGTATTGCAGCAGGGACTGCCAAAAGGCGCACTGGCCCTCCCACAAACCCACATGCCCTGGGACGACCAACGGGAAGAGAAAAGGGAAGAACAGTGGCAAGGTGAGTGGCAGGAGGAAGGTGAAGGTGAAGGTGAGTGGTACTGAATTTAGTGGGAAGGTATTTTACCTTTTATTGCGATGTATCCTGCCAGCCAAGTCGCTCTCAGGTGAATGGTACTGAATTTAGCGGCCAACTGTATCAGCCAAGTCGCTGAAAAGTCGCTGCCTTTTTATTGTGTCGAAGTTCCCAGCTGACTTCCATGGAAATCCAAGGTCCAAATGAATGCCAGATCCCAAAATCTGCAGCAATGAACGTGTGATGCTCCTGCTGGTAAGACCATAGGTATGTGTAACTGGTGCTCTATGATCCGAACGGTTTAGATATTGGCTCATGTGTTTCTTGCTAGCGACTTGGCTGATGCACCTTTGTCTCGGCAATGACATGGATGTCTATTGATGGAATTCTCCTCTCTGTCCTCAATAGCTATGGATGGCTAAACCTGATTCAAATCATGTGTGTCCTCTATCGTTCCCCCCACCAGCCCTCCCTCCCCTCCCCTCCCCCCACCCCGGCCCCAACTCATCTTAAATTCTCACTTCACATGTTTACACTCATGCACTTACCCCCTAACTCACTCACGCTTGCTCCGGACAGGCCTGAAGCACTCGTTGTGTGCAGTTATGTGCTCGTGCAAGACTTTCAGTCGCTCGTTGCACCTTGCTTGGATGGCGCTGTGTTTTGGATTTGAGACCAAGCTTACCCCGAGGCAACAATGTCAAGATAGCAAGCATGGATGATGGCATTGAATGAAATGTGGGTACAAGTACTAAGGGCGTGTCCAGTTCGTTCATTTCGGGATTTTTAGTGCCAACACACGTCTCCAGGTTCAGAAATGATCACTGTACCTAAAAACGAATGCATTGTGAGTTGAGTCCAACCTACCCGTAATTTCATGAGCGCGGACACATTCCCCGCCACACAAATCAACAGTGCTCTGACCGTGTTCGAGACCAGGTAACAACTTCCCTCGTCAATCATAGCTTGAGGATTTTTGGGCAGGCGCAGGGGGCGTTGGCGAGTGTAGCGAGCCACTGGCGAAATCGTGCAAGCGATACAGGGGGCACTTACTGTAGTGGCCAGGACGCGGTGCTGTACCCTTGTTCGCGTTCCCGCTGATTCCAGTAACGTGAGTCAGACAACTCGAGGTACGTGCAGGGGGCGTGCCGTCTTGTGAACGAAAGCTGATTGTGTCCGCAGGACACGTTCAACACAGTGTTACAACAAAAAATGTGGTAACTGAAGGGGTTAACGAACAGTAAATGTACGAGCTGGACACCCCCTAACCCTAACTTCGGGTTGTACCCCATATGAGCTACCCCACTATAGCCTACACAGAACTAACACATATATAGTTTGACACACCCCCATAGGCAAAGCGGGGGAGAACAAGGGGTCACAAGACCAGTCAAGAAAAGCAAAGCAAGCTCGGGGTGGATCACAACGTCACCACACACTCGAGCACAAGCAAAAGGCCACAAGGCCAGTTCACATGCAGAGGTATATATGCAACAACAACAGTACAGTGATCACTACCTAGCAAGAGCAAGTGAGACGAAACACACACAAGGCCTAACATAGTACAGAAGCGCTGATGATCACCAGACGGAAGTGCCTTGATGAATATATCAGCAGTGTTGGCCCGAGTGGCCACGTGAGCAAGAGGAAGCTGACCAGGCTGCTGCAACTCTCGAGCCAGGAAATAACGCAGAGCGATGTGCTTCGTTCTGTGCTCCAATCTGTGCTCCTGACACAAGGCAACGGCGGCCTTGTTGTCTACATACAGAACTGGAGGAGAACGAGGCCGCTCTCCCAAGTCGGCCAGAGCCAGCGTAACTCCTGTGCAGGTAGACCGCCAAGAAACAGAGCCGCAGCCAAGGCTGAAAGTGTAACCCTGTGACGACCGCTGCGTAGCCATGTCGTCAACCCAAGAAGCGTCTGACTGTCCAGTGAGGACAACTGAGCTCCGCCCTCCAAGCACGAGCCTCATGCCCGATGTACTGCACAAGTAGCGCAGTACCCTCTTCGCAGCATCCATGTGCACCTTTCGGTGCCTACCAGGAGCCACGTAGCGTGCCAGAAGGCCAAGAGGGTACGCAAGGTCAGGACGAGTGCAGGCCATCAGGTACATAAGGCAGCCCACTAGCTCTGGGTATGGGCCACTCGGCTCTACGGACTCGTCCGAAGGTGGAGCTGAGAGCGAGTGACCGGTAGCCAGAGGAGTGGACTGTGGCGAGGACCAAGTGAAGCCGAAGCGCTGAAGGACCTGCCGCACCATGTGTGACTGAGTCAGGGTGATGGTGCGGATGTGCTCTGTCCCGGGTGATATGCAAGCCAAGGTAACTGCGCAGCTCACCCAGGCCTGTGCACGTGTGTCTCTTCTGCAACTCCGACTTCACAAGGGCGAGAGCCTTAGTGTCAGCAATGGCAAAGACCAAGTCGTCGACGTACACGAGGATGTAGAACGGCGGCAGTGAAGTGTCGGTGCGTAGAAACAGCGACTTGTCAACAGTGGAAGGGGCAAACCCAAGAGCCGCAAGTGTCGTCCTCAATGTGTCGTGCCACTCACGAGGCGCCTGACGGATACCGTAGACTGGCCGACGGAGGCTCCATTGGGTACCAGGAGAGAACGACCCAGTGAAGCCAGGTGGGCGGCGCAGCCAGATCTCCTCGTGCAGACTGCCCTGTAAGAACGCTGTGCTGAAGTCCAGAGAGTGAAGCTCGTAGTCACGCTGAGCGGCAACGTGCAGCAGCACCTGAAGAGTGGTCATCTTCGGGGTGGGGGAGAAGGTCTGGAAGAAGTCAACTCCCTGTCGCTGACTGAAGCCTCGTGCAACGTAACGAGCCTTGAAGACAGGCGGAGAACCCGGCGGCCACTTCACCCTGAAAATCCACATGCCATCGACGATGTTCGCCCCAGGAGGGGGAACCACATCGACGTAAGGGCCTGTGGACTTTCAGGATGCCATCGCTGCGTCCATGACTGTCTGCCACTGAGAGGAGTAGGGACCCGCGATCGCCTCAGCGTAAGAACGCGGAGTCAGGATGTCTCGTGCATCCGGGTCTCCCTCAGGGGCAAGCAGCATGGCCACGAGATGAGGCGCAGCGGCTGCAAGACACTCAAAGTCCTCCTGCCTGTCCTCAAGGACGTCCGTGCCAAGAGCACACTCACCCCCGACGGACGGAGGACAGACAGACTCAGACTCAGCAACAAGACTAGCAGCGTAGTCTAGACGACAGGCAGCCGCAAAGTCAACAACCTCAGAGACTAAGGCAGACGCAGCAGCAGACTCAAACGACGGGTCAGTGACAACAGTGGCGAGCAGACGCGTGACAGTAACGTGAGCAGCACGAACCAGGTCAGACTCAGGGTCCTGAACGTCAGGCAGAGAAGACGCAGGAGGAGACGGTAGGGGAACACGCTGTGGAACAGAGGAAGGACGAAGTGCCATAGCGTGCGTGCCAGGGACAGGAGGCGGACGCTCACGAGGAACACGACGACCAGTGCGACGCACGCGAACAGGCGAGGCAGGACGAGACTCAGGCTCACGACGCTCTGTAAGCGAGTCTGTCTACTCAGTGTAAGGAGAAAGAGCAGGCAGTGGTGCGCCGGGCTGTAACGGGAGGCCAGTAGAAGACGGGAGGCTAAAAACCTGGCGAAGCACGGAGTCAGGCGGTGGCAGAGACGACGGTGACGGCGGAGCGAAAAACAGTCGCGACGGTGCAGTGCCACCAGTACCAGTAGCTCCAGCGCCTCCAGCAGCTCCAGAACCTCCAGCTCCAGCGCCTCCGGCAGCAGCACCTCCAGCTCCAGTGACTCCAGCAGCAGCACCTCCAGCTCCAGCGCCTCCAGCAGCTCCAGAACCTCCAGCTCCAGCGACTCCAGCAGCAGCACCTCCAGGTCCAGCGCCTACAGCAGCTCCAGAACCTCCAGCTCCAGCGCCTCTAGCAGCAGCACCTCCAGCTCCAGGGACTCCAGCAGCAGTACCTCCAGCTCCAGCGCCTCCAGCAGCTCCAAAACCTCCAGCTCCAGCGCCACCAGTAGCAGCACCCCCAGAACCGGCACCTCCAGCCTCAAGGTCCCCAACTCCAGGGTCGACAGGACCAGCGCCAGGGCCTCCAGCAACAGCACCCCCAGAACCGGTACCTCCAGCTCCA